GGCCCAGGACCCAGAGGGAGGAAGAAGGCTAAGGAGACGATTGAGAAAAGAGAGCTGGGAAAGGGGGCCTCCTGCACGGTTGGTGGGGATGCAGACGGGTGCAGCCGCTGTGGACACCAGCGTGGAGGCCCTTAGAAACTAAAGACAGAGCCGCCATGTGATCGTGCAGTGCCACTCCCGGGCGTACCTCTGGAGAAGACTCTAATTCGAAAAGATGCGCGCACCCCAGTGTTCATGGCGAGCGGTCCTGTTCGCAGTAGCCGAGACGTGGAAGCCGCCTCAGTGTCCATCGACAGAGGACTGGATCAGGAAGGTGTGCATACACGCGGCGGAATACTGCTCAGCCGTAAAGAAAAATGAAATATTGCCATTTGCAGCAACATGGGTGGACCTAGAGAATATATACTTAGGGCAGTAAGTCAGAGAAAGACAAATGTTATATGATGTCACCTACAAGTGGAATCTAAAAATTAACACAAATGAATCTATATACAAAACAGAAACAGACTCACAGGCGTGGAAAACAAACTTATGATTACCGAAGGGAGAAGGCGGGGGAAGAGGGATAAATTAGGAGTATGAGCTGTTGGTTTGTTTGTTTGGATGAGTGGTTTGTGGGCTCTTAGTTCCCCAACCAGGATGGAACCCAGGCCCTCGGCAGTGAAAGTACCAAGTCCCAGCCACTGGGCCGCGAGGGAACTCCCAGCAGTACGGGATTAACAGATACACATTACTATTTGTAAACTAGATAAGCAACAAGAATTTACTGTAGAGCACAGGGAACTATATTCAATATCTTGTAATAACCTATAATGGAAAAGAATCAGAAAAAAATATATATATAAAATGGAATCACTTTGCTGTACATCTGAAACTGACACAATATTGTAAATCAACTATACTTCAACTAAAAAAAGAAATATAAAAAAATTAGATATCTGAGACATGTACTGAGGGGGGCTGGGTTAACGTCACGTAGCATGGTCATGCGTAAATCCAAGTTTGGAGGATGTAAGCATTGCGACCTGTAGCAGTGCTGCACCGTCATCAATGCACAGAGGCCTGGAACAGGAAAGGTTGGCTCCTGTTATAAACGTGGAACAGAGGCCTGTGGACTTTTTGTCACCTGTCCAAGGTACATAGCCGGTGAGCGACAGCTTGGAATGTAGGCCTCAGACTCCTAACCCTGTAACTGCTTCACTGCACCATATTGGAGATTACAATCCTTAAAGTTACAGAAGTAGAAAAATTATCCTTTCAGTTTAGTTACTAAGAAAGTATGTGTGTATTATGATATCATTTTAGTTGTTTTTTCCACCCGTTAAAATAAATGTTGTCAATAATGTCTGGGATTGGAGCTAGGTTAAATATTTGGTGTTTTCCTGTTCATGGACTTTTACTTCAAGCAACGAGTGGGAAAACAAGAAGAGAAATGTGACTCACAACAGGGAGGCAGTGCAATTAAAGTCAAAGAAAACATTTATTTCCATATTCTTTTTTATTTTTATTTATTTATTTTTTTGCGGTACGCGGGCCTCTCACCGTTGTGGACTCTCCCGTTGCGGAGCACAGGCTCTGGACGCGCAGGCTCAGCGGCCATGGCTCACGGGGCCAGCCGCTCCGTGGCATGTGGGATCTTCCCAGACCGGGGCACGAACTTGCGTCCCCTGCATCGGCAGGTGGACTGTCAACCACTGAGCCACCAGGGAAGCCCTATCTCCATATTCTTAATGAAAATGGTGATCACCTGAATAGTCTCTGAGTGCTTCACCCTCTCTCCTTCACTTTCATGAGTGGTTATTAACTTGTGTACACATCCCAAGAAATGTATAGATTACAGTTAAAATCGTGTAAGCGGATTTTCAGGGTTGATAAACAGGGGTTATTTAAATTCTGAGAACGTCCAGCATTTGTAGCTAAAAAAAAATATTCTGCCCATCTAGTCTAAACTCTTAAGCTATTTAAATGAATGTTAGATATCGTTTTTATTAGCATAATTTTCACAGTGGTAGTTAAGCGTGAGTGGGTTTGGAGTCCAGACACTGCTCTGGACTCACGTATTGGCTCTGCCTCTATTTGAGCATCTGCAAATTACTTCGACTTTCAGTCTTGCATTTCAAATCTGTGAACTGTGTACAAATATAGTACCAACTTCACAGGTTTGCTTTGAAGGTAAATAAAATAATTCATTTTAAACCCTTAGCATACCTTCTAGCACATAGGAATCAGCCAGTACAAAGAACCACTTCACTGAAGTGCAGTGAAGTCTTCGGTAAAGTTTTCTCATGTAAATTACTGTGATTTCTGAGATCCTCACTTTCTTTCTCTGTTCAACGTCCTTTCCTCTGAATCTGCTCTTTCTTGTCGTGGCTGTTGAATTTTTAATCATTCACATTTAATATAGACTTACTCAGAACTGGGGGTTTTGTTTCTCCCTTTTTGAATCTGATCACTTTTTTGCATATGCCAGAAAGGTAGAGTAATAAACAAACACCACGTGACACACACTTAGGGACCAAGCCACAGCTGCACCCTTCCTGTGGCACAATTGGACTAGAAGAAAGACCTGGGAAGAAAACAACTTACCAAGTAAAGAATGTGTTTGGCAGGCTTGTTACACACAGACCGTGGCCTGTTTTCAGAAGCCAAACTGAATGAAAACAGCTTTAGAAGAGGCAAGCATTTGTGAAAAAGTCCTTGAAGGATTCTTAACTGTTCTTCTGCACAAAAAGAAACCAGTGAATCAAAGGTGCTTCTCAGGTCCTCACTCCTATTTTCCTGACAGTAAGTCAAACTTGTTGTTTTTACCTTTTACTCTGTATAAGGTAATTAAGGCGCAAAGGACACAGCCAGTGCCAGGCATCTTGACTGACATTGTTAAATTATCAGATTGTTCTGATACTTCTCAATTATTCTGTATTTTATATTGTAGACCTAATGAGTGATTTAATTTTTTAAACTCAGTAAAATCGTATTTTAGCATGAGAGTAAAATGGAAGATAGACTCAGAAGTGTGTGTAAATATACTTAACATTGTTGAGTGTCAGATTTACACTTCTCAGGTTGGCCGTCTGAGAATTTGCAGAGTTTAACTTCTTGGGAATGTGTGTGCATTAGGACAAGTTGCTTCTCCCTGTGGGTTCTTTTTCATGAAGATGGGTGTTTTTCCTTAGACACTTTCTCACGTTAGAATTTAGAGATGATTTTGGTGTTTGGTAGCTTTAGCTTTTTATCAAAAAAAAAAAAAAAGGAAATCCAGCAAGTTCTCTAAACATTGTAATTTGCATATAACATCAACATTTATTCGAATGCGTTTAAGTCACCAGAGCTGTGATACCAAATGATCATCTCCGGAATTTTAAATTGAAAACACAGAAGGATTCCCTGTTACCCATCATGATTCTACACGTATCGTATACTCCAATCATACTAGCTAACCAATGTTTCTGGTTTTCATCTGTATGTATCTGACATACTTACTTCTTAAAGGGAAACCCATGAGTTTAAAGAGGAGAAATGAGTTCTTTGGGCTTCTAAGAATGACTGTAAAGTGATTCAGCTTTCCTTTACTTCTGTTATAACTTTTTTAAAAAAAACTAAGTCAAGGGCAAAGTCTGTTTTGGATTCTAAACATTACTAACATCTTATTCTCCGATTTACTTTATTTATTTATTTAGAAATTTTTACTGGAGTATAGCTGCTTTACGATGTTGTGTTAGTTATTTACTCTAGGTTGTTGTAATGTCAAGATGTGGCAGAAAACTTTACTTTTGAGACAAGACACACCATAGCCCTCATCTAGCTCATAACCAAAGCCTGGAGAGAAAGGCCCACAGGCAGGATATTTTACATTCATTAATATTTTATACTCTTTAAAAACTAGTGAATGTGTGTTACTGTAATGTCAAATAAGGCATTCAACGAGGGCATCCGGGCGTGTGTTTTCGAAGTGTTCAGAAGCTATTTTGGGTAACTGGATTTATTTTTTATTTTTATTTTTTGCTCTTTTTCTTGCCTGGTTGTTGCTGTGTGATATTTACTGTCTCTTCTCTTGATGAACAGGACAAAATGATTAAAAAAGAGAGGCACGTGTGTCAACAAACTCAGGCTCTTCTGTCTAAGAATTTTCTTAAAAAATGGAGAATGAAAAAAGAGAGCTTATTGGTATGGTTCACAATATATATTTTACCATATTTAGTGAATGAAAATCCATCATTTCATAGTATGCCATTTTTATTGCTTTTTGATGTTCACGCATTCTATGGGCTAGTTGATTTGGGGTTGTAAACATAATATTTTGCAAATGTTGCAGAATAGGATAATATTTATGTCAAAAGGTAAAATTAACTAATGGGCTCATATGTCAGTTCCTGAAAAACAGAGTAAGTAACATTTTATTGAATAGAGCTAGCTAGCCATTCTCCAAATAAGTAATCCACTTGAATCTGTGGAGTGATTCAGACTTACCCTGGGCAAACTTCAGTAGTAGGAAAAAAATAAATTTTAAAAAGCCAGGCAAAATGCAATAGATTTTAATGGTTGAATCATAGCACTCGACTGGGGACGTTTTGATAAGATTCTGTTAATTGGTAGAGCTGGGGGAAAAAATTATGAGCAACAGCAGAGAACTTTGGGGGGATTTGTTTTGAAGACTCTACTTTTACAAACATAAGAGTGGTTTCAGGATCCAGATCACTGATGGTCAGCATCTTTGCGCTCTCTTCAGTTTCTAGTATAAAGACGTGCACATCAGCACAAAGAGGTTTGCTGTATGTTCCCATGAGGTCTATCTGGGGCCACCTTGGCCACAAAGAGGCTGTGTTCTGTTGAAAAAGAGCCAATAACATTTCTTTTTTCTATTAAAAATTTTTTTTTATTTTTAAAAAAATTTTTTTAAATTTTATACTGAAGTATAGTTGATTTACAATGTTGTGTCAGTTTCAAGTGTACAGCAAAGTGATTCAGTTATACGTAGACATATATTTATTCTTTTTCAAATTCTTTTCCCATTTAGGTTGCCAATAACATTTGGATGGGAGCTAGCAGAGTTCACGCCATCCTTAGCTCCTAAAGCAATTCACTTCTAATATTTTAGTGGCTGTGTTGATAAAGGGTACACTTACAGGGATCACCCAACGTAACCTTTAAGAAAACGTATTAATAATGTTTAAAATCTCAAAATGCAGAAATGCTAGCCCAATGAACTCACATCCTATCCTGTTCACCCACCTGCTAACATCCTGCCATGTTGGCTTCCTCTCCCCATCTCCCCTCAACTCCCCTCTTAAACTATATGACACTGGACTGCTAAAGCCTTCAGCTGGCATCTACGAAAATTAAGGGCATATTCTCCTTCATGGCCGCTAGTACACTTTGTAAAGTTAGCAGTAATTGCAGAGCATCATCGAATTCCGTGTCCAAATTCAGTTTCCTAAAATTGCCCCCAAACGTCTCTTAAAGTTGGTTTGTTCAAGCGAGGCACCAACCAGACCCAAGCTGTTCTCTTGTTGAATACCCACCTTCTGTATTTACCTGATCGCTTCTGCATTCTGTGATTTAACTCATTCCTTTCCCACCTACGTTTCTTTTTTATTTATTTTTTATTAAAGCAATTTTTAAAATTGAAGTATAGTTGATTTACAACCACCTACATTTCTTGCGAACAGAATTTAGATCAAAAAGTTGGATTTTGGCTTCAGGTTAAACCCTTTGGACAAGAATATCTCCTATGGGATGCTATGTAATTATATTACATCCATATGAGGGCATACAATCAGCAGTGGTTCTACTATTAGGGGAGCTATGTTTCTAGATTAAGATCAATAGACATTTTTGATATTATCTCCAAGTTGTATGTTTTTTGAAATGGTGTTTTCTTTAAAGGATAGATAGTAACTGGGAAAGGAAGGAAGTTGGAGGGTGAAATGACGCCACGCTCAGTGACGATACTTTCTGTCTTAAAATGTGTTTGACCGTTTCTCACTGCTCTGGACCACATGATAACCTGGCTCATTTTTCTTCTTTCGTGTGCTGGAGGAGTGGACCACAGCGCTGCTTCTGGGGCTCTCTTTGTGCTTCTTTTCGGCGCTCTTCAAAGCTACTCATTTTCATGAACAGCCTCTTCAGGTCCTGGGACGCGTATATAAGTTTAATGCCTTTGATCTGGTGGTGGTGGCCTACATGGAGGCTAACGGATAAGATGGCTTTGGCTTCGTTTATGAAAGGCGTGTTGTTCAGTGACCCGCGTTTCACTATCATGCAACATATTCATGTTTAAACTGAAGTTTGTTTTGCAAATTGAGTTTATTTACCCAGCCTGTGGGTTAGTGGTTTTCAGCTGGCGCAGGATCCTCATTTCATACGTGGTGGAGGGGTTGCTGTGGACCTACAAGTAAGGGCACCTCTCGAAGGGAAATAGATTTAACGGGGGGCTTTTTAAAGAGCACCCACACCTTCCACCCTCTCGTCCTGGAAATCTGTGGTGTTGTGAGTCATTATTATTGTGCGTATGTTGCATGCCCCAAAAAGTAAGGTTGGAGCAGGAAAACAAGGTTGGACCCTATGCTAGATGACTGCACACTTTACCCCTGGCCACTTTGCCCCCTTCTTTTTTTCTTCATTGCAGCTTCTGGAACCCTGACTTCGGCATGCCTCGCTTACCCACGCTGGGCACGAGCTCTCCTGCCCAGTGTGGATTCTGCCCAGACCTGGCACTCCGTGCGTTCTCCGTGTGGTCCCTGACCTCATCTCTTTGTAACTCCGGAAGCATTTACACGAGCCTCGGGGACTAGTCTCTGCTGCACGCAGCAAGCCGTCTGTGCTTCCAGCCCCGAGTCTCAGGGCTCATCGGACTCTCTCCTTTTCTTATAGAAACACCCAATGCCAGCTACCAGGCCAGCCCAGCCTGGTCACAGCGCCTCTTTCACCGTCTCGGTCTGTATCCTTCTAACTCTTGCTGTTCTGACCTTGACAGGATTTGTATAACCTCTAGAGAAAAATCAGTGAAATTTGCATTGGCCTCATAAAAGTTCCACAGCCTTTTACTCTATGTTGGGAAGGCCGAGTAGTTTTGAAAGATGCAGCCGCCCTATGAAAATGAGTATCTGTTTCTTCTTCACGTAGACATCAGCCTGCATGGGATTTAAACACTGTGCTAAAAGGAATAAAAGTGTTAGGACGTAAAACATGCAAATATAAAAAAGTACTAAAAGGAGGCCATCAATTGGACTTCGTAAAGTATTAGCGGACTCATTAACCACCTGTTGGGCGGATTGCTTCTGCAGATTGTAAACTCATTCATTATAAATGTTGTGTGAGCTTAATTCTTAAGTTAGTGTCCTTGACTCCAAAAACTCTCTGTGGGTTCTAACTTCACTTCTGACTTTTGTACTCTGGTTCTTTGCATGCAATTTATTTCTACTGGCATACTATTTTCACATGAGAGAAATCAGTTTCTAATCTTGGCAGGGAAAAACCCCCCCAAATTCTCAAGTATTTTTATTGGTTATTTAAAATACTTTTTCTAATTTTAAAATTATTTTAATTACCAAAGTAATAGCCAGCCTAAAAAGGTTAAGCAATATAAACTTGTATGAAGCAAACAATGAGAGCTTTTGCCCTCATCCTAGCCACCATTTCCTTCCCTATAAATTTGTGTGTATCTTTTCTGGATAGTAGGCACACAAGCATACACATGGTCACATATATAGACGTATATTACTCTATGCACATAGGCACACAAACTCAGTTTTTATTTACTTAAATGGGGATCACGATTATGCTAAAAAATATGCTGCCAGTTGGTTTTTTAAAAACAATACAGTTGACCCTTGAACAACAGGGGGTTTAGGGGGGCCCACCCTCCAGGAAGTCGAAAATCCAAGCAATTTATAGTCGGCCCCCTGTATCTGTGTTTCCTCAGCATCTGAGGTTCCTCCACCCACCTTTCTGCCTCCTCAGATTCAACCGATTCCTGGGTAGTGTAGTAATGCAGTTACTTTTGGAAAAAATGCACATGTAAGGGGACCCGTGCAGTTGAAACCTCCACTGTTGAGGGTCAATGGTGTATCACTCACATCTTCTCACGTATTCACACTGAACTTAAAACAATAGGAAAGACTTTCAGCCCTTAACTTAGAGGCACCTCTTTGGGATAGTATATAACACCAATAATTTTATGGGAACCCTAAACAGTTGCAACTTGGTTTTGTGTCCTCTAGTAATAAGTTTATATGATTAATTATATTTTTTTACACATGGCAGGAAGAACAATCGTTAGGACTCCTGATGAAGAAACCATGGACATAGTACTTGCAAAAAACTACTCGGAAATGGTGGGAATTGTGTTTAATGATACTCATATTGGCTGAAGTTTAGCTGGGGACATAGAATCCCAGTCATGAGAGAACACTTTGAATACTCAGGTAACTACATGAGAATTGATTCCAATCTTTTTTGCTACTTCATCGAATCCCCCAGTGGGAATGACTGATAGAAAAATTAATAAAATCAAGAAAGGAAGTGATACACTTTTTGCTCCTGAACTTAATGGTAAGTTTTTGTTACAGAATGAGTCTCACTACCGTGGCAAGCATTTAATAATATTCTTCTTTCTTCCAGTTTTGCAGAGTGCTTTAGAAATGCTCTAGATCGTGTAACCACGGATTTGGAGCAGACATTTGGATCTTTCACTTCAGAGCCAAAGTTAGTGTTTTAATTCCATTAATTGATTCCAGTGCATAATGATGGGCATGTTTTTCTTCCTCTTTAAAGAACATTGTTGGGCTATGCGTGATGAAATTTTTTGTTCCTTGACAACATACTGGCAAAGAGGGTTTGTGGCTTTTCAAACCACAATTAATGCTGCAAGTATAGAAGTAACTGCCTATTTTAAATCTTCTGTATCCTTTCCCTCACTTGTAGTCTCTCCCTCCTCTTCCACCCTCTACCCCTACACTCTTAGGAGATGATGCTTTGCCTCTCATTCTCAGAGGAAATAGAACCTGTAGGATGGGAACACTCCCCAACTTCCCAACACAAACCCTGACAAACTATGGCCGTACTCCTCTCTACACCCACCCTTTTCCTCAGTTCAAAGGCTGGAAACATTATCCCTTTAACACTATCAGGAAAGTTGCACAACGGATTTTCCCTTCTGTGTCATCTTTCTTCAACTTCCCCCTTTCAACTAGATACTTCTCTTCAGTATTTAAAATGATCAGTTTCTTCCCTTATTACCAAAACCTTCTCTCATCCATGTTTCCTCCTCAAGCAAATACTCTCCTTTCCTGTAACATCTCCACTTCTTGGAAGGATTGCCTTCACTTAAGGCTCGACTCAACTCATTATAATTTCTATTCCCACCACACCACCAAAATGAATTTTTCTGAGGTCAGTAACAGCTCTCATGTCAATCAACAATTCTCCTTCCTTGTCTTACTTGATCTTTTAACTAAACATCAGCATTCGCCTGGCTTTCTTTCACTTTTCTAGCCATTCCTTCTCAGTCTTCTTGCAATCTTACCCATCATTACACTCCCACCTCTTTCAGTCTGTAGTTCCACAAGGTTCTATCCAATGCATATTTCTCCACCCTATATACTTTCTCTACACAGTGTCATCCATTTACATAAATTTAATTACAGTTTACATGCTGGTAACTCCAAGAACCCTGCTTCAGCTTGTTGACCAGCAGACTTTTCCTGTAAAGGACCAGATAGCAAATATTCTAGGCTCTGGGGGCCAGACGGTCTCTGTTGCAAATACTCAGCTCTGCTGTTGTAATGTGAAAGCAGTCATAAACCAATGTGCGTGACTGGTTCCAATAAAACTTTATTTGCAAACACAGGTGGCGGACGAGGTTTGTTCTACTGTAGTCCCAAGTAGCTGACTGTTTACTTTGATGCCCCATAAGCAATTCAAACCAGTATGTTCCAAACTGAATGTGGGTGTTTTTCTCTAAATGTGACTGAGTCTTTAAAATTTTTTTCTCTATCTCAGTGAATGCCAAAGCCATGCACTTAACTGGGGAATTATCAGAGATCACTTCCTCTGCTTCACCCATCACATCCCGTCTCTCATCCAGCCCTGTTAATTCTAAGCTCAAATCTCCGTACTTCTCTTCAGCTCTGCCACCAGCACTTGTCCAAGACATTAGCATCTCTTGCCTGAACTGTGAGAGTGGTTTATTCCTCCAGCCTCATCTATCTATCTAACACATGATATTTAAAAAAAAATTTTAAACATTTAAAATTAATTTTTTATTGGAGTATAGTTACTTTACAATGTTGTGTTACTTTCTGCTATACAGCAAAGTGAATCAGTTATATGTATACATATATTCCCTCTTTTGTGGATTTCCTTCCCATTTAGGGAAGCACTGAGCACTGAGTAGAGTTCCCTGTGCTATACAGTAGGTTCTCATTAGTTATCTATTTTATATATAGTAGTGGATATATGTCAATCCCAAGCTCCCAATTTGTCCCACCTCTCCTTCCCCCCTTGGTAACCATAAGTTTGTTCTCTACATCTGTGACTCTATTTCTGCTTTGCAAATAAGTTCATCTGTACCATTTTTCTAGATTCCACATGTAAGCAATATTATATGATATTTGTTCTTCTCTTTCTGACTTACTTCACCGTGTATGACTATCTCTAGGTCCATCCACATCTCTGCAAATGTCACCATTTCATTCCTTTTTATGAATCTCACCATAATTTTAGAAAGCTGATAGAAATATGTAAATGCTTCTATATGAAAATGGAAAGAAACAAAATATGGTTTTCTTGTGTATTTCTTCTACAGTTAACATAATGCATTTGTTTGTTAACAACCCAATTTAGGTCACAACAAATCGTTCTGTGATGGAAGAGTTGACATCAGTTATTGGAATAAACATGAGGACACCCCCTTTCATTTCTAAGGAAGAAACTACAAATGAATGGTTTATTTTTATTTGTGTCGTTTATTTCTCCCCTTTTGTATACATCATTAAACATTACAAAGGAATGAAAAAAATTTAAGATGACAGTGACGGGTCTCCCAGAGTCGGCCTTCTGGTAAGTTACCTGTGTATTACACATTAATACATGGGGAAACTCATTAGGTTATAAAGAAATGAGATGCATTCACGAGTTGTTTTTGCATGTGTTCAATTTAATGACCTCACTTGTTTACGATTTTATTTTATTTTTTTAAATTAATTAATTAATGTGTTTATTTTGGCTGCACTGCGTGGCACGTGGGATCTTAGTTCCCTGACCAGGGATCGAACCTGTGCCCCCTGCAGTGGAGGCGTGGAGTCGAAACCACCAGACCGCCGGGGAAGCCCCCTGTATTAGATTTTAATAGCAGTAGAAAATAAGTAAGGATTGTGCTTATGCTTCCCTGAGTTGAAGAAAAAAAAAATGTGATGCATGTATCAGTTAGCAGCATAAAGTTTTCCTGATACAGAACTGTCCAAGGTAGCAGGGTTTGCACTGGCTAGAGATTTTTAAAATTCAGTTAATATTGCATTAGTTACTGGGGAGGGTGTTTGCATAAATATGCTCTTTACCCCTCTTTCTCTTCAAAGACAAGAAATAGAGATTTTAAAAATAAGCAATATTGGGGCTTCCCTGGTGGCGCAGTGGTTGAGAGTCCGCCTGCCGATGCAGGGGACACGGGTTCGTGCCCCAGTCCGGGAAGATCCCACATGCCGCGGAGCGGCCGCGCCCGTGAGCCATGGCTGCTGAGCCTGTGCGTCCGGAGCCTGTGCTCCGCAACAGGAGAGGCCACAACAGTGAGAGGCCCGCGTACCGCAAAAAAAAAAATCCCAGAATGTACATAAACTTCAAGATAAGTTATCCCATCACCTAAAAGTATTCCTTCCAATGGAACAATAATTATTGCCACCATTTTCTAAATTATTTTTATTGAAGTATAGTTGGTTTACAATGTTCTGCTAATTTCTGCTGTACAGCAAAGTGACTCAGTTACACACACATGTACATTATTTTTAAATATTCTTTCCCATTATGGTTTATCCCAGGAGATTGGATGTAGTTCCCTGTGTTATATAGTAGGACCTTGTTCTCCATTCTAAATGTAATAGTTTGCATCTACCGACCCCAAACTCCCAGTCCATCCCTCTCCCTCCCGCCTCCCCCTTGGCAACTACAAGTCTGTTCTCTATGTCTGTGGGTCTGTTTCTATTTCATAGATAAGTTCATTTGTGTCATATTTTAAAGCATATTTTATTTTACTTATTATTTTTAAATTTTATTTATTTATTTTTATTTTTAGCCGTGTCAGGTCTTAGTTGTGACACACGGGCTCTTCATTGCAGCGCACGGGCTTCTCTCTAGTTGTGGCGTGCAGGCTCAGTAGGTGCGGCATGCGGGCTTAGTTGCTCCGTGGCATATGGGATCTTAGTTCCCAGACCAGGGATCGAACCTGTGTCCCCTGCATTGGAAGGCGGATTCTCTACAGTGGACCACCAGGGAAGTCCCTGTGTCATATTTTAGATTCCACATATAAGTGATATCAAATGGTATTTGTCTTTCTCTGAGTTACTTCACTTAGTATGATAATCTCTAGGTCCATTCATGTTGCTGCAGATGGCATTATTTCATTCTTGTTACGGCTGAGTAATATTCCATTGTATGTATGTACCACACCCCCTTTATCCAGTCCTCTGTCAGTGGACATTTAGGTTGCTTCCGTGTCTTGACTGCCATCATTTTTAAATTATTTCAGGCAATCAATTAAATAAGCATCATAAGTAAAGGATACCTTAGATGGTGATAAGTATGAAGAGAAAACAGGAGGCAGAGAAAGGGGGATTGAGAATGAAGAGCGAAGAGAGGGTGAATCGCCCTTTTAAATAGAGTGGTTAGAGCACCAAGTGAGATCTGGGCCAAGACTTGAAGATGGTGAGGAAATTAACCGCAAGCAGGACTCTTCCAGGCAGGAGAAGCAAGAGTGGGGGAAGGATGTTGTCATGGGACCATGTCGGGCATATGCAAGGAACAAAAGACACAGCTGGGGGGCTGCAATGGAAGGAGCAATGGAGAGAAGCAGGAGCCACGGTCAGGGACGATGCAGGAGGAGGGGTGGCTGTAAGGGCTTAGACTTGGGCTTGGAGAGGGGAGGGGTGGAGAGTCACAGGAGAGTTTGAGCCCTAACTCAAGCTAGCATATGTTTTGAAAGGGACCCTCTCACTGTGGTGTGAGCAGTAAACTGTAAGTCTCAAGGGTGGAAAACTGGACTCCTTTGATATCCGAGCAAAAATAGTTTGAAACAGACAGTAACCAGAGACTCGGAAATTGCCTGATATCGATGGGAGAGAAGAAGAGTATTCCCCACCCTATTCCCCGGCAAATTCTATCTTTACAGTCAACCTGTGGCAACATATGGACATGTACTGACCTCATCATCCTACTCTGACCTCCCCACCTTGAGCCAGATGAGCACCCTTGAGAACTTCTTGCCTGTATGCCAGGGTCCAGGCAACTTATAAAATCTATAAAGTGTTCCTACATCCAGACGACCTCTCCAAGCTCTGCCTTCCACTCTTGACTTTGGACTCTGTCTTTTATTTCTCAGCTGCATTTCCCTTCTCATCCTTGTCCTTTGGGATCAACGACCAAGTTGGACTACCTGCCCCGCTTTCTATTTTGGTTTCTTCATAAGATACCCTGTTCCCTTCCCTTTCAACACACATACTGTGAGCCATCACAGACAACGCTTTGCTCCCTGGCAACAAACAAAGGTAGGTATTTGGGTGAAAGGGACGTGGATTTATTTGGAGAAGGAATAATAATGAAACTAAGATTCTCTTTCCCAATGTGCTGGTAGTAGACCAAGCAAAGCCAGAGGGATTCCTGGAGCAGAGAAGGATATCTGAAGCCTATAAACTGAGAGGGTGAGTTCCCAAAATTTGGGAACAACATATTACTTTTTAAAATTTTCTCCTGGGTCCCGGAAAAATGGTCGGTGAGGCGGAGTGCCCTAAGAGATGAAACTCCATCATCAGAAATCAAGTCAACGGAGAGCACCGTTAAGGCTAGGAATATGGAACTGTGGAAGAGAGAAAACCTCTTCCAATGTTCTATAGCAGCAACCCAAGTAAATGTTAAATTCTGTGTTCCTGTGTTTGGGACTTTTCGTATTTTCCAGATATGGATGCAAAATACGAACACCCTCTGAGTCAGAGCAAAAGAAATTTCTATGTGTTAACAGCTTCTAAACATGGCAGGATTTTAACTGAGTTCTTATACTGGCCAGTCTTGGTTCCTGATTCGAAGAAGTAATTAACCTTAATGCTAGGTATTGATGCTAGAAAGTCAATTACCCCTACACGTACCATTAGTACAAGAAGTCTCAGGGCTGACAGCTGTATTTCACTTCCTGCCTCTGTAGCTAGCAGCTATTCCTCCCTAGTAAAGAGAGAATGAAAAGAAAGGTGCCTCGGACTCCATGCTGTTATTTACACCAACAAACAAAGTTTCCTTTGAAACTTTCTTTAGAACACTGTGAGATGTCTGCAACTTTCCCAGAAAGCGCATGAGATTCTGTTACCAATTTTTTCAAAACCGAAAACAATTTAACAAGAAAAATCCCTCAAAGCATCATTAAGATGTCATTTCAGGTCATTAATAAAAGGCTGTTCTTTTCCCAGCTTGCAGTACGTTTTGGAACTGATGGAGCACCTGTCTGTATTTTTTCCTTTTATTTGCCAAGCTAAATTTTCAAAGGATGCCACCTTCTGGTTTGAGTTGTTAAATATCCGTGGACTTCCACTTCGGGATGCTTCTAGAAGTTTACTATGCACGGTCCCTGCACTAATAGAGAAATATTTGCTTTCTACTTCCCGCCACCTGGGTGGCATCAAATGTCTCAAATCTTCTGAGAATCTGACCCAAGCTTCTTGACGAGCGCGCGCGGGAAATGCGTTCCTGCAGGATGAGCATTGCAGAAGTGTAATGCTTGCAGATTTGAAGGTGCTTTTAGGTGTCAGCATTATGTCCTACAAATACAGTTAGTCTCCACACCAGGGACACTTTGCTGCCCTGTTAGTGCTGTTTCCGCTGCCCTGTTTCCTGCCAAAGGAACGAAGAGTCCACACACTGTGTATTTTCCAGCTCTCATGCATATTCAAAAGGGCATCAACCCTGGAATCTGAAGCTTATTCCAACACAGTATACTGTAATTTCTCTTATTTATTTGAGTCACTAAATCGTTTATCATGTCAAATTTTCTTTTGCAGCTTTTTTTAATTGAAGTACAGTTGATTCACGATGTTGTGTTAATTTCTGCTGTACAGCAAAATGATTCAGTTATACATATATTTATACATTCTTTTTAAAATATTTTTTTCCATTACGGTTTATCACAGGATACTGAATATAGTTCTCTGTGCTCTACAGTAGGACCTTGGTGTTTATCCATTCTGTGTATAATAGCTCACATCTGCTAACCCAGCCTTCCACTCCATCCCTCCCCCAACCCCTCCTCCGTATCACGTCAAGTTTTAAAGTCCTGTCTTACTCTTCTGAGGGCAATGTACACCTAAATCCAAACAAAAGTGTGCCAGACCCACCCTGACAAAATAGTTTTATGTCAGAGTGACCCTCCTGATGACATAACCCTTACAAAACTTGAGGGAAGTTATTCAAAAGCAATGGAGAACAATCCAAGCGTGCAAAAACTGGATAGAATATAATCCTTAAAAAAGGGACACATGCTAGGCAAGCTCCATATGTATCCAGCTTTTCTCCTAAGGGGAATTTCCAGTACTTACCAATTCCGGGAATAGAGCCTAAGTGGAAGGTAGCAGTCACTGAATTCAGGAGACAGAGCCCAGAGTTCATGGCTTTCATAGCGGCTGGAAATGAATCCTAGAAAGGAGGGAACCACAAAATGTGAGCCCCAAGTTCTACACACACGTTTCCCTGGAATATTAATAGTTGGTGTATACCTGAACAGCTTCAGTGTAGGCTGGAGCTCCAAGAAATCTAGTGGAAGGGAGC